GAAAAAATTATCAGATCATCACAAAAATCGATAGAAATCATTTTCATAATGACTTTGACCTACAAAATAAAAAGCAAAACGGAACAGACTGGTTGATTACAATGAATGCTCAAACTATTTGTGGGAGTAAAAAATGGTTACGTGAAGTTTGTTGATTGAAGTCCCTAATATGAGGCTTACCTGTTAAAGGGAAACACAGTAGAAATGAGTAATAGTTTCACATATTTTGAAGATGGTGGTAATCTGAAACGTCTTCCTCTATTCCAACCTCTTATCGATACTTCCACAGTTATTGGCTGGCAATTTTCAAAATATCTATCAAAGGTTGGAATAGAGGCAGATGTTTTGGACTAAGATGGTTTGGTGAATTACCTTTTTATGAGCCAATAACAGACAGTTGGAGTGTTCATGTTCCGAGGCTATTTCATAATCCGGTAATCGATCCGTTAAATCTGTGACAAATTTTATAACTTCTTCATGCCATGGCACATTTTCCATCGTTAAACTGGAGGCTTTCGAATCTCCACAATATGTTACTCCCTGGAAAAAACAGAAAATCCATTAAGAAAACCTGAATAGAATTAGGGATAGGATATCAAAGAATAGAATAGCACAAAACTCCCAGTTGATTCCATGAATTCCGAATGTGCAGAGCTCACCAACTGTGAGTCATCCACCTTTCAAGGAATCTTGGGTTCACGCAGGGAATCAGTTCATTATCTCATTAGAAAAACAAGTCTTTTTGATGCAAGTTCTTTTGACCTATATCACTTAAGAGCCAAAATTTGTTCTAGAATCAAAAATAGTAACTAGCCTAATATCACAGACGGTGAGAGCAATGGTTCTTTACATGACATCATTTGCATGGTTACGTCGAGCAAATGGCGGCTGTGGGTTCCGATCTCAATTGGTGTGTGAAAGTCCGATGACCTTGAATAAGTCATCTTCACTCATAATTCCAGTCAACCCAGCTGTAAACGGGTACGAATAATCTGGGAAAGATCAATGCCAAGAGGTTTGGCCAAGGACCACCTGGTAGAAAAGCTCCTTAATTTTGAACCTATCCATGTAAAATATAGTTGTTTCTTTCTTTTCTCATGAGAAAAACAAGTCTTTTAGACGCAAGTTCCTTTGATATCTATCACTTTCAAGAAACAAAATTGATTCAGAATCGAACAAGGGTAAGCACAAAGATAGTTACTAGCCCAATATAGTAC